CCATTGCCTGGCAGTGGGGGAGGGTGGGGAGGCATATGTGCCATGCCAGGCAATGGTGGAGGAGGAGGTGGCGGCGGCAGTGGTGGGGTGGCAGCAGCAGCAAGGGGTGGAGATGTATTCTTCCCTGGTGATGCTGAGCAGGTCGAAAGCTGTGAGGGCAGGGTGGCCTCTGGAGGACTTGGTGGTGCTGGTGCACTGGGGACAATGGCTGCCACAACAGGGATCTGCTTTGCATTTGGCAGTTCCTCTAAGTCTGTGTCTGTTTGACTGCATTTATTTACATTCTCAGGAGATTGGTTTTGCTCCATTTTTTGTTTGTTTGGATGCTTCTTTATGGAGAGCAGTCTCTCGATGATGTCTTCAACGCTGTTCCCTTGTACTGTAAATATAACGTACTTAAACCAGGATAAGCAGTGCAAACTAAACACTGGCATACTATTCACATTCTTTCCAAACGATGTGTACATATCTATGTGTCTATCCCCCTTGCTTCTTCACTTACACTGCTGAAGTCTGCAGATCTGTTTTACAGTGAGATTTTTCCCTAACGAACTCATTATATGATCAAGATCCAGACTGAAAGCCAGATCCAAAATTGACTGCAATTTGCAGAAAGGCTTTCATGGTTGGAGGAGAACAATTTTTGGAGTTAGTTTACAGAGATAAGAAACAAAGTCCTGGCCCCACTGAAGCAGATGGCGAAAGGCCCATTGATTTCAGTAGACCCAAGACTTCCATGAAGATGCACATTTATTTTCACTCTGAGTTCTGTTTAATCTTGATGGGTTCCAGACCTGAAGTAACTTATGTATGTGTGAAAAAGACTTAAGGAATGGAGAGCAAGGCTTGGGATACCAGTCAATCAAAATAGGCTTACCATCATTTGCAAGCAAAATGGCCCTGTTTGCTAAGGTAACCAAGGATTCCCACAGCAGCAGGCTGGAGTGATGAGAAGATTCCAGATACAAAAGGCTCTGAAGAATGGACAGCAGCTGGACAGAGGCTGGAGAGCTGCTCACCTAAAATACAAGGCAACTCCTATTAATTCTTTCATACGTGAGGCCAGCACCCATTTCTTGTGTGGAGTGATGGATACTGGTGTTATCACTGCAGAACCTTTATCCCAAAAGTGAGGGCCTACTTACTTTATTGAACAGAGATGTAAAGACCTCGTGGTGATTGTTCATGTCAATCCCATCACTTATCTTTAACAATTCCTCGTCATCTTCTGTCTTGGCCTCCTCAAATGTTTCACACTGGATAAGCAGGTCATCCTCTTCTATGTCTCTGCCATGCCAGAACATTTGTTTTAATTGGAGAGAGTCTATAACCATTTTTCAGTAACACTTCTCTGCCTGTAATGACTGGTGTCTTTTTACCACCCCCCTCGACTTGGCTGATGATCACTGCTGGAATTATTTGCCTTTCCATTATTCATAGAGGAACAAATCCCACCCATACATTCTCACACTGAGCACTATCTTCCTCTGCAGTAAACTCCAAAGTAAATCAGTATGCCAGAATCTGGCTCAGTCTGAGTTTTGTAAGGGGGCATAATAATTAAAAAAAAAAAAAAAAAAAAAAAAAAAAAAA